AAACGCCGCCATGTTGGGAAGGTCACCTGAGTGAGAAGACGGCACAAAACGCCGCCATGTTGGGAAGGGTTTGTGGTGGAAGTGTCTGAAACCAAAAAATCACACCCAAAGTGTCCTTTGGATGAAATATTCCTTTAATTCCTCGTGACGGGAGCGTGGGGAATCACTCGCCAGCCATGCTCCCCAAAATACGGTTTCTTAGGGTGTTTATCCGTCACAATGCTCCAAGTTGCCTCCCCAAAAACCATCCTCCTTATTACAACACAAGCCTACACTAAAATTTCACCCGGCTGCTCTTTTTTGGAGCATAAATGCCATTTAGTGTCTCTTTTGTGGCAGGTTTCATCACACTGAGGGTCATTTTCCTTCAGTCTCGTGGGTTCATCCTTCAATTAATTTCAACCTCTGACCCTCCTCTGATTGTCTTTACCCACCACATCTATCACTAATTAAAAGATAACTTGGTATTATTCTCCACCAAAACAATTTTTTTATTTAATTTAATCCTCAGCAAAGCAAATCCTACTGAATTGTGCCTTTTGAAGTGCACGATTCATTTGGTTGACTTCCTCCAGCTCTTCTTTGCTTCCTTCACCCTTATTTTACGATGCCAAACTAATTACAGGTTTAAGAGAAAAACCAGCCAAAAATGGCAACTTTCAGAGAAACAACATTTCTGGCTTAATGTGGAGGTTGGGCACGACTCGGCCGCAGAGAATGAGCAAAAGCACCAAAGTTACCCCAAAAAAAAAATCACTGATTTTATTGTATAAAATCCACCCCAGGATTTGTCCCGCTGGATCCGCGCCATTCCATCGCCTCAACAGGGAGCACAACCCTCTTTCTGTACCGGAGAAACCTGGATTTGTTCATTTTAGCACCTTCCAAGGAGCTTCAGGGATTCCCTCGCGTGGGGAATCAGGGGAATAAATCACAGGATTAACTCCACGTGATTCCTAAATCCAAGTTCCAGGTCTGGATTTTTCCAACATTTCAAGAACACTCCCCCACCCACCCCCCAGGCCTTTTTAATCCCATTTCCAGCGACATCAAACATTTATTAGTGTTGTGAAAGTATAAAAAATATAGAACCCCCAAAACAGGCTCGTCAGCATGTGGATATAAAAGCAGGATACCTACGGATCATGGAATTATTCCAATCTTATCCCAAAACAACGATTATTGCTGGAATATCCTGCGCTCAGGCAGAGGGAGGAAGGGGGTGGGAGGGGGGGAATAATGGCACCCCGAAGGGTTCGTGGGGATAAGAAGTGGGAAAAGCTCCAAGCTGGCGTGAAAAAAGAATTCTGGCTTGGAATTTTGTTTGCATTCCTGGTCTGGTGGAGAAAGGGGGAGTGAGGTGAGAATTTCCAGGGGTAAACTGCCATTTCCTTGGGAGCTGTTTGAACAATCCCATGCCATAAAAGGGTTTTGTATAGCTAAATATCATCTAAGTTCCACATGGATATGGATACAAGGGGAAGGGAATGATTAGTGCAGATCCCTCCCTCATTCCCAAACTCTTCCAAGGCTTTTCCAACCTTCCATGGAAAAACCAAGGCTGATGTTTGGCCACAGACAGGACAGTTCCAGGGGGAACTGCAGATCCTGCTGAGCTCAGGGCTGGGATGCTGCGGGCTGATCCCAGATTTAATCCCAGATCCCAGTTTTCAATCCCTTTGGATACAGCACGTCACGATCCTTTGGGATTTAATTAAGGAGCTCACCAATTGATCCCTTTCTGCTCTAGGAGGAGGGAGTGCCAGGCATCAGATCCAAAGCGCTTTTCCAGAGGAAAAGCTGGATCCCACAGAATCCTGCCCGCTCCAGTACCGATGGAGAGCGGAGGGGCCAAAACCTGCGTTTTTAACCCCAAAAACAAGGGACAGAAAGAATCCTGTAGGGAACGAGGAATTCCCTAGGGAATAAGGAGATCCATAGGGAATGAGTACTTGAGGGAATAAGAGATTCTCTAGGGAATGAGGAGACTGAGGAGCACCTCTAAAAACCGGGATGAAGCGGTTAAAATCCACCCAGGAGCTTTTTCCCTACATTTCTTTCCAATGTGCAAACGGGCCGGGATTCGGGAAGGGGGGCCGGGAGCTCCGGAAGGGATCCCGGGGCCGGATCCCGGGACTCAGCAGCCGGCGGAGTGGCCGGATCCCAGCTGGCCGGCCGCCAGCAGCAGGATGTCCTTCTTCTCCTTATGGAAGCGCAGCTCCTTCCCGGCCAGCCGGGCCTCGTCCAGCTCCCGCTCCGTGGCCGCCAGCTCCCGGGAAAGGGCGCCCGGGACGCTCTGCTCCCGGTTCACCCAGTCCAGGGCCATCTGGTTCCGGATGTCATCGTCCAGGGCGCGGTGGGAATAGTGAGCCAGGACTTCCTGGTGGGGATGGGATGCGGGGGTGGGATCAGGGCCGGGAAGGAGCGGCGGGCCGGCGTTCCCGGAGCGGCTCCGGACTCACCTGGCGCGAGCACTGCCGCTCCCGCATGGCCTTCAGGCTCCCGTTCCAGTGCAGCAGCTGGAAAACCGTCATCAGCTCCTGGGAAGGGAAAAGGGAGGCAGGATGGGAGCGGGATCGTGGAATGGTGGGATGGGGCGGGGTGGGAGAGGGACCTTATGGATCATCGGGAGCAAGGGAGGGACACAGAACAGCCGCCCAGGTGGCTCCGTCCAACCCGGCCTGGGGCACTTCCAGAGGTGGGGCAGCTTCCCGGGATGTGGATTGAGCTCAAGGCACCACCAGGAGCAGGACACCGGAGCAAAATTCCCTGATTAATCTGGATTACGATGGAGGTGGAGCCTCCAACGCCCCCTGTGCCCTGGGGAGTCCAGGATAAGCCTCTCCAAGCTGAAGCACTGGCAGCACCGGGGACAATTCCAGGTTTTCCAGCCATTTCTCCCTCCAGGACACACAGATTCTGTTTAAAAACTGGGACCTGCCAGGCTTCCCAAAGCCAGCTGGAGCTGGGAATATCCATCCCAGCTGTAAACAGGACCCTGAACAGAAACACCTCAGCCCCTCCCATTCCAGGGAAAGGAGCCAGGAGAGGAGTTGGCTTTGGGAAAAGTACGGAATCCCAAACACAGCCACGTTCCAAAGCTGGATCCAAACCCTAGAGCAGAGCCAGCTTTCTCCTCTCCAGTGGAGTGCCCACACTTCCAGGCTTCAGAATCATTTCCAGTCACTGGAAATGTCCTTAGGGGAAAGATCTTCCCAGCTTTCCTTGGGAGAGCTCTTGCCTCCCTGTTTTCAGGGAGAGGATGAATCCCACTAATTAACTGGATTAATTATTGCCACACTTATGACGTTTGGAGGTGCCACCCAGAAACGCCCGAGTGGGACTTCCCTGACACTGAGCCTGGCAAACAGCAAGGAGGGAAACCCCATTCCAAGGATTTGGCTGCACCTGGAAGTACCTCGGATACAACCAAAGGGAAACCCCAAATTCATTTTCCACAGAAAACACTGAAAATGCAGCTGGAAGATCAAACCAACCACCCCTTAATTAAATTAGGAATGGGACCTGGATAGGTTAGGAACAATACCTGGAAAAACTGGGAACAGTACCTGGAACTCCAGCATGGATTTTCCCTTGTTGGACTCCAGCATGAAGCGGAACGCCCCGATCCCGGTGTTGGGATTATCCGCCTCCTCCCGGTTGCCCTGCAGAGACATTCCAGACAGGAGCTGCCATTCCCGCCAGTGCCGCTCCTGCTGCACTGTCCCTGCTCCAGGAATTCCCAGTGGGATTCAGGAGAGCCTGGTGCCAGCGCAGGGCTGTGACATCCTTATCCAGCCAGTCCAGCCTCGCTCATGCAGCACCGGCCACTCCGGCTCTCCCTGGATAAATCTGGGACAGCATCAGGATAAATGTGGCTCTCCTGGAGCAAGGAATCCCTGGACAACACCCCTGGGAACAGGATTTTTCCTGCAGCGATTCCAAAGCTCTCACAACACCCCGGAGACCACGGAGCAGCCGCAGGTTACGCGGCAAGAATTCCCTCCGGGATAATCGGGGCAGGGAAGGGAGAGCGCAAAGCTCCCAGGAACAGAAACCGAAATCCCTGGAAAACCTTCGGTTTCAGGGAAACCAGTGGATGTACCAACCCAAGGCCGGGAGATTCCACACCTCAGCCTCCTCATCCCACCCTGGAGTGCCAGGGCTTGCGCTCTCCGGAGCAGGAGAACGGGAACTCAAAACGCACCTAAAACTCGGAATGCTCCTGTCTCAGTTTAAATGTGACAACTCCACAAAACCTGCCTCTGATCCCAGGGTTTGGGGGTGCTTTTCCCGGGGTTTTTCCGTGCCCACCCTTACGTTGAAGGACGCCAGGGCCTCGGAGACGCTCTTCTCGATGAAGTCGTCGGTGATGCGGCGCGACGGGTGCTCGTTGAACACGGAGTTCATCAGCGCGATCTTGGCCGCGCTGCGCCGCGCCTCGGCCTTGGTGGGGCAGAACTGGGACACAGGGACACTGTCACGGCATTCCCGGGATCCCAACGCCCCTCCTGGGGTCATTGGGAATGGCGGTTGGGAGGGTGGGGGCGGAACTAGGAGGCGGCGCGAGGGGTTCGAAACTGCCCGTTCCCGGGGAAGTGCCTCCTCCTCCCAAGGAATTGAGGGGAAAGATGGCAGGAGAGGGCTTGGAAAAGGCTGTGGAGGTCCCCCCAACCCACTGGATCCCTCTGGGATCGCCCCCATCCCGCTGGAAATTCCCAGCTGGAATCCATCAGCTCCATCACATCGGCACTGAGGAGTGAAAACGTTCCTATGGAAGTCCCTTCTCCTCCCAAGAAACTGAGGGGAAAGATGGCAGGAGAGGGCTTGGAAAAGCCTGTGGAGGTTCCCCCCACCCCGCTGGATCCCTCAGGGATCATCCATATCCTGCTGGAAACAGGGGAATTTGGGATTAAACTCAGAGGTTCAGCGCCAGAGCCTCCCGGGCCTCAAATGGGCAGGGGGAACACCCACCCTGGGGAATATTTGGGAAGGGGTTGGTGGGCAGGGGGAACACCCACCCCGGGGGATATTTGGGAATACCTGGAAGCTGCCGAAGCAGCTGCCCCCGGGCAGGGTGACGTAGCACACGTAGGGGGGGCTCCCGGCGGGCACCATCTCGTAGAGCACCAGCGCCCCATGGCGAAGGTCGGCCCCGCGCGACGCCTTCATCTGCCAGAACTCCTGCAGGGCCTCCACCACGTTCACTGCCGGGGAAAAAACCGGGAATGACCCCCCCATCACCCCGCTGGATCACTCCGGGATCGCCCCCAGCCCGCGGGAGACGGGCCGGGATCCATCGGCCTCGGAATCCATCGGCCTTGGGTGCGTCGGGATGAACACGGTGCTGTGGAAGTCCCTTCTCCTCCCAAGAAATTGAGGGGAGAGAGGGCAGGAGA